TTCTATCAGACTTAACAGTCTTCACAATAGTGTCTGATTTCATTGCTGAAATTACTGTTTGGTTCCATGAGGGATTTGCTTTTCCTACCCATTTTGGGAAAGATAATCTCATACTATGTTAATGGACAGGGTAAAATCCTAAGATAAATGATGCTGTTGGTAAAAGTTCCAATAAAAATTATTTAACTAAAAAAACCTGTAGTTTACACATTCAATATAAAATTCATAGATCCTCCTAATGTATGGTAGGTAAGAGAAACAGAGAAATCAGAACACAGAAAAGAAATTTTTTTTCAAATTTCTCCACAGGGTAAATTGTTACACTGTTGAAGCCAGATACAGAATTACATCAGCTTCTTGGGGAACTAAGTCCACCTGATTTTTATTTGCAGTTTGATAGTACAGCTGGCAAAAGACAAAATAAAAATCTCGAAGTGTTCAGCATTAGAAAATTAAAATCACCTTTTTCATCTTGATTGTTTTCTCAGGACAGGTCTTCCCCTGGGATATGGCCACACACACACACAGAGAATATGAATAAAATTCCCGAATTGTAAAAACCAGGGGTTTTCCTCCTTTTATTTATCTTCTTTCGAGTGTGACTGATCTTTAGTAGTTTTTAATTATGTGAACTCTTGCTTTATTAGAAAAAAAAAGATACTATTTTTAATACATGATTATAAATATCTAAAAAGAAAAGAAAATATTTTATAAGACAAAAGCCCAAAAATTAATTAAGACAGTACAGTAGGAATCAAATTTACAAAAATGCTGTTCCGTTTGGTCTTGGCCTTGGCTAGCATCCATCTTTTATCTCTTACCATTGCTTTAAATGAAGTCAAGCTTTGGTATGAATTAAAAAAAAAAACAACAAAAAACGCAAAAAAACACCCAAAAAGCAGCCCCTGTGGAAATGTCTTCTGTTAGCATCAGTTTTTTCATGATTTCCCTGAGTGATCAATGCCTGATGTAGGAACCATATCACACTCATTCAGATCCTGTTACATATTGCTAATCACGTCAACAAAAACTGAAATAGGTTTTAAGGCCAGTGGGGGTAACTGTAGCCATCCAAAATTACTTTTCCCACAACATGGGCTACAGAGTACTGCTTGGTACCCTTGGAATGAAGACAGAGCTGAGGGATGAGCTGAGGCACAGTCTGTGACAAATGCATTCAGCCTTGGCTTCCAGATGGCAAATGATGGCAAATCTATTACAATCCAAACACAATTGCTTCAGCCATTAATCACCCTTACTGTTAAAAATGCATACCCCACCTCTACCCTGATTTCTCATAGATTCAGTTTTTAGCCTCTGAAGTTCTTCTAACTTTACCTAAAATATTAAGTCATCTGTTATAGAAAACTTTTCCCCTTGTCAGATATCACTGACTGACCTTAAGCATGGGTTCAGCCATGCTCCTAAATACAGCTCCACTTCAGCATCCTTCTACACTTAAGCCTCTACCACTACCTCTTCTTCTCTGTTTCAGAGCCTAACAGTAATGGGAGGTTTTTGATGGGATGCTTTTACAGTCTAAACCTCAGCAGTACACCTGTGTCTCTGTATTTTAATTTCCTTCCAGCATTAATTATTTTCCTGTCTCTTTACACCAAGTATCTCTCAGATGAGAGAATGTGTGAATTTATGCACGTTGATGATTTTTAAATAAATATTATTGGGCAGAACAATAGGTATTTGTATTTTGAAGTGGAAGTAGAAAATGTGGCAATGAAGGGAAAGAGCTAGTAAAACATACATTTCTAAAATCAGGAACTGAAAAGATTTTTTTTTTTTTTGCTCAGAACCATTGCAAAAGCAGTTAAATTCCATTACTTCCAATCTGCCAGCTGTGAGAGAGAACTGCAATTTTAACAGGTGAATAAAAAAAAAAAAAAAAAGAAAAATGAGGCAAAGCTCTGAAGGAAAAGCACAAAAGACATTAAAAAGATGATTTCAGGATGAAAAAAACCCCACCCCAGATCTCTCAGCAAGTGACAGCTGTGGGTTTAATGGACTATTCTTAAAATGAGATTTATATGCAAACTGCCTACAGAAAGTTAAAAAAGGATGCTAATAACCTATAAATGCAAAAGGTTTTTATCTGAGGCTCAAAAAATTTTGATGGCAGTGGATGGAATGGAATGTTATAACACACCATAAATGTCTCCATTAAATGATTGCTTCTCTGACCTGATGCCATTATGAATGATCCAGGAAAAGCACCAAGCAGTTGTCCTGTTGCTCCTCCTGCTCCACTTCTTCCCAACTCACTGAGTCTGTCAGCATGGGGGGTTTAGTCTCACATGCCACCCCATCACAAACTAGGATTTCCTTCTACTACCATTGAAAATATTCCTGATCTCCTAATGCATTCCTTTGCCTTGGAAGAAAGTTTTGAACATGCATGTATGAAATGTTGGACCAGCATTGGAGACTGTATCACTGAGGCACCCATTGACAGCTGCACCTTTGGGTGACAAATCTTCTCCCAGCTCAAAGCTGGATCTTTATCCACAGGGAGCTTTGGGGAACAACATCAGTTCCCCAACACCAGCTGGAAACCAAGAATGATTGCTAAAGATTAAATGGGTGGGAAAGGATATTACATCCTCTAAATTGTGTTACAGTATTCAGACAGCCAAATACAACTCTTGGCCAATAAATGGGATGCTTTGGAAGGTCCTCAACTCTGAGTTCGCCTATTGCAGACAGTAAAGAACAAAGCATAGCAAAACTGCATTCTTTAGACATCTGACAAGTGTACTCTTATAATTGTTGTTTCAATGAGTTAAGGCATCTTTCCCATCTGCTTGCACCTCCTCTGTGCCTGACTCCAGCACACCCGGCAGAGCTGGCAGGAGATAACACACACCTGCACCTCACATTTGTACCGAGCTACCAGTGTGGGCAAGGGCTGCTGAGCTGCGAGCAGGCTATGTTTTATTGGGCTGCTTTTGTTATTAAGACAGATACCTACACGTGTGTTTATTTAAATAGCTCGTGCGTACTGGCAGCACACGTGTAAACACACATACATACAGACACCACATCACAAGCAAATGCGTACACCTCTACATTGCTGAAACAATGAACATAAGCTAAACAAGCAAATTGGATCATTGCTTTTTGGAATCAAATGTCCCCATTAACTACCTTACAAAATATCCCCATGACAAGCAGGGATGTGCACAAATACTTGTGCAATCTGCTTCTTCGTTTAGAGAAATTGTAGGAGGCATTGCTTAGGAAAGCAGAGTTTGTGCAAGCAACACATTGCCTCAGCATCAGAGCTTTAGTCACACTGTTTAGAATTCAGTGGTGACAAAAGCTAAATTCTTCCTCCAATATTAAATATAACTCTGCTTAAATGTGGAAAAGTAGCACCAATTTCTTAAGCGAGCACTGAAGTGAAGCTTCAGTTTTCTGGTGACAATTTTATAAAATTACCTAAAAGGCTTCAGAATTAGATTTATTTTTATTCTTTTCTCTCTGTATTTAGTAACTCTAGCACTTAATCTTCCTTCATGTCACTGCAGATCCAGCAAGGTATAGTGATTCTTGTCCTTCCCAATCTGCCTGGAGAAGCAGCTGGAAGGGCCCTGGAGAGTGTCAGTTCTTCAACCCTTTCAGTGCCAAAACCCAGGCTGCTGAGTCAAGAATGGGTTTGATCTCTAGCAACCATTTTGAGAAGAAATTAAGTTTTAGAGGAACTAAATCAATTGTATTTCCAATAAAAATAACTAAGTCATGTTCTCTGAAGAAATTCAAGCATGACATTAGCACACGGTGAGTCCAAGAGCATTAACACGGTCATAGTCTGTTTCTAGTTGTGCTGGAGCCCTATCGTGAGGGGTGATTCATCCCATAGAGCTGGAAAGAGAGAGAATCGGTTTTCGCTTGCCGGGCTTTCTGCCTGTAATACTTCTCAGCCATCCAGTAGAAGCCACTGAACAAGTACGAAGGCACGCTCTATTTCCCATCCCTGCAGAAGACACCCAGCCCGTCCCGCTTCCCACACCGCACCTTTCAGCCCCGTTCGCTCCCAGCGAGAGGCCGGCCGAGCTGTGTCCGTGCCCGTCCTGGACAGCCCGTCTTGCCCGGGGGATGCTGGGGGTCATTTCCCCGCTCCCCGCGGTGGGACCGCGCTCCTCTCCTGTGCTGCGCAAAGCCGCCGCACAGAGCCGGTGACAGCCCCGAGGAATTGCGAGGGTGACTCGGTCTCGGAGGGAGGGAAGGAGCGGGGAGGGCGCTGGCCCCGCCGCGCCTTTGCTTTCCTTTCTGTCCCGTCCCGTCCCCTGCCAGCCGCGCTGCCCACCGGCCCGGACGGCGCGTCCCTGGAGCGGAGCATGCTCACAGGGCGGCGGGGGCGGGCGGGCCGGCCCGGGCAGCGGGGATCGGGCGGGCGGCACCGGCGGGAGCTGGGAGCCCGGGTGGGAGCGGGGCGAGCGGAGCCGCCAGCCCGGGCCGGAGCCACCGGGAGTCGCGGGGGCGTAGAGCGAACCCAGAAGAAGCGGGCGCGAAGCGTGTGCCACGGGCAGGGTACGCGCTGAGCCGCGGAGCCTGGGAAGAGAGGAGCGCGCTGAGCCGCGGAGCGGGGAGCGCCAGCGAAAGGACGCGAGGCGGGTACCCAAACCGGGTCCGCGGGACAGAGACCCGAGCAGGGGGACGCGCCAAACTGCGGAGCGGGAACCCCTGGAAGGAGCCGCGGGACAGAGACCCGAACAGGGGGATCCGCACTGAGCCGCGGGGCGGGGATCCCGGGCAGAGGCACTTGCACGGAGCCGCGGGGCGGGGATCCCGAGCAGAGGTACCTGCCCTGAGCCGCGGGGCGGGGACCCCAGGCGGGGCCACCGGAGCGCGGGAGAGGGACCCCGGCAGGGCTGGCGGCACGGTAGTGGCGAGGCGCGGAGCCCGGTGCGCGCTGGGCGGCCGAGCGGGGCCGTC